TGTGGGGTGGGCTACTCCCTGAGCCATGGACTGAGGGTCCATCTTGGGCCCTCTGCTACTACGTGCTGTGACCTGGGCACTGCTTTATCTCAAGAGTCTCGATTTCCTCACTGATGTGATAGTAACCATGACTGCAAACCCTCAACAGGGTGCTTCAGGGTAAATGACATACTCAGGGGGCCTCAGCACAGGCAAAGCCCCCAAGGAACAAATGTGAACTCAGGACACTGTAATTTCAATAACTAACATCTGAACTTGGGTTCCCAAGAGCTTGAGGTTTCTAATAAGATACCTCAAGGCTTCCTCAAAGGAACTGTGGTGGCTGGAGTTCAGTGCCCTCCACTGTGGCTCAGAGCAGAACAGCAGCCTAGAGCCTACACTGTCCCTTGTCTTTTCACAGCTAATGGGCCATACAAAAACAGGCCACAGGTGAGATTTGGCTTGAAGGCTGTCATTTGCCCCCCTGTCCATCATCTCTTCAGCACCCAGCTAGGGACAGACTTGATGAGGTAGAAGGTGGGATCTGAGCAAGATGCAATCTGAAAACATATTTTCCCCCACTTGAGGAGTCAAATGTACACAAGTCCTGCCTAAATGATGAGCTTACAGATGATGTGCATCCTCAAATGTTTCTGCTGGGGCATGCTGTTCCCATGTGCCATCCTGGAATATCTGATGGCAGTAACTGGCTTGATGTCTTGAGTCTGTCTCACGTTCAGGCTGTGGCTCCCAGAGAGGGTCAACAGGCTAGAAAACGCAGCACTAAGCCCAGTGTCAGCATGGGCAGGAAAGGATGTTAAAAGAAAGGTTTGGGAAGTAGCTGCACACACAGGCCTCCAAACCCCGAGGCAGCTAGCCGCCAGCACAGCGGCCAGCAATAGCAGTTACCACTCCAGCGGTGGATGAATTCTGGGGTTCCCATCTGGCCCAGACATGTGTTTAGTTTTGAATATATCAAAGAAAACAGTTTTTAAGATTTAAAAACTGGGGCACTCTGCACAAAAACTAGGATTTCTGACTCACGAGGCGTTTCCAATGGCAACAGTTGGGGCCGAGATGGCCCTCTTGAGAAAAGGCAAGTGATTGACATTTTGCTGCGGTCCTCACTGCACCCTGATGTCTAACAACTGGTCATTCTCTCTCACTGAAATGCCCTGTCTGACTTCTGGGTGTCTGAGTTTGCCACTAGCTCCACAGAAGGATCCTCCCAACCCCAAGAGATAGTGCTAAACTATAGTCACAGCACTTGCAACAGTATCATCAACATGGAAGGAATCTGAAGGCTTTTGAAGATTCTTGTTGAAATGTAAAGTACTCTGCTCACTTTAAGCCCTGATTTTTTAAAGACACTTAAGATTGATTTAATGGTTGTGTTTACTTAATAGAAAGAAAATATAACTATGGAACAGACAAATGTACATCCAAAGTCTCTAAGATGAATCACCACCATCATAAAAATTATGGTTATTTACAATTCTGGAGGAGCCAGATGAGGGATAGGGTATGATGGATGGAAGAGGGACTCCACCTAGGGGACTGGAGACTGAGAGGCTTTGCTGTGTTCCCCTGTCTAGCTATTCACATTCTTTATAAAGCAACAGGCATGTAGGTATTTCTGCTTAAACCAGAGGCTGGCAAATGACAGATTGTGGACCATATCAAGCTTACTGCCTGTTCTTATATAAACAAAGTCGACTGGTTCACAATCACATCCAGCCATTCGTCTCTTGTCTAGGGCTGCTCTGTGCTGTGAGGCTGAACAGTTTTGAAAACTGTGTCCTGTAAGTTTAAACATAGTTACCATTTGGGGCTCTCTCCCTGAAGTTTGCAACTCCTCATTTCAACAGTCCTCAGAACCACTTTCAAACTGTCTGAAACTGGGAAGAATCTATGGCTTTAAGAGGTAGACCTTCATGGAACTGAGATGCTCTGACCTCCTAGAGCTGGGGTGAGAGTTCCTGGAAGGTCTCATGTAGCCCAGGCTGGCCTGTGTCCACCTCCTGAGATCTGGGATGACAGGCATGTGCTACTGTGCCTAGCTTATGCTGTATTGGGGACTGAATTTAGGGCTTTGTGCATGTGAGACAAGCACTCTTTCAACTTAGCTATATCCCCAATTCCCTGTAGGGCATTTTAACTGCAGCTAGTTGAGGACCCGTTTTTATTTGCTCTTTAATGTTCATTCAGATTGCAAAGTAGACCTGTTGGTGCCTCCTCAAAGTTCCCATGGTTACTGTGTAGCATTTGACTGCCAGCAGCCCCTCCTTACCACTAACATGAAGGGTGACTGTTACCCACCTTACCTTCTGCACTGACTAAGGGGCTGTCATCATTTGCACTTGACACACAAGGGTACTGGATAGAAACTTGCTCAAGTCCCAAGTGAAGGAGGGAGCAGACCTACCGAGTTGACCACATTCTGAAACCCACTGCTGCCCAAATTGCAAATTGCACTCGAGATATGGAAGCTGAAGCTGAGAATCCCCAATGTTCACCCTCTCCCTCTTCTCCCTTTACCCTGGAATTCACCCCCTCAGTAGCTTCTCAAGCTATGAACTTTCCCAGGCCAAGCACATGGCAGCCATTGCCTTTAGAAACATGGCTGAAGAAATGTTTCTGAGGCACTGGCTGAGACCACACAACCCAGGGACCGAGCTACACAAGCTCAAAAGCCATTTCCACATCCGTCCCTTTTTTTGAAAGAAGCTTATTCACCCAAACCATGTGGCCACTGGCTCCACTCTCCTTGCCCTAAGTCATCTCGATGCACAGGTAAGTGACCTCTCAAAAAGCTAACACTACAGATAACTTCTCTCACTAATATCTACCAGTGGTTTTCCATTTCAAGTAGAATCTAAACCTCAGTGTGGTCAATACATTCTTTATTATCTGAGCACTCCTAATATCTGAACTCATTCCTGACCACTCCTCCCCACTCTCTGTAGTCCACAGAGGGCTTCTCAACCCATCCAAATTCATTCCCACACCAGCGTCTTCCAACCTGTTGTGCCAGCACTCGAGAATATTCTTCCATGCATCTCTGAATGGCTAACCCCCAACAACATGGGACTCTGTTCAATCCTTCACTCCTCTGTGCTATATAAAGTCATGCATTTGTTTGCTGGTATATTCTCAACCCCCCCCCCCGTGAGAATGTACACCCCAGGAGAACAGAAGTCTTTGATTCATGGTCTCTTTCTAATGCCTAGTCTAGTGCCTGGTACTCAGTGGGGATCCTATATTTTGTTAATATCTTCAAATGTAAGAAACTCAGCTTTTTTTTTTACAACAATTCACTAGAGGAAATGTTGATCTCACACAGGAATAGTGTCATAAGTGGCCACAATTTCCTTCACCTAATTCCACTGAAGGCTACTGTGTGTCTTTCTGACAAACTGCAGCAAACTGAGCAACATCCACAGGAGACCCCTACTTAAATAAATTAGTTCATACCAGCTTTAAGAGGAAAGTAATTCAAAACATGAAAATTTATTCTAAGTTGTATCTTAACATACGAGATCTCAGCTTTAGATGAATTTTAATGTTTACAAGTGTAAAAGAAAATAAATATTTACCAGTTGCCTTTTTTTTGCACTCTTATAACTCCACAACAGCTTAAATGCAAAAAAAAAAAAAAAAATTGTTGCTAAACATCTTGTAGTCTCGCAAAATGAAGAATTTCTTATTAGGAAAAGCCCTCACCACAGTAACAACCCCTCATGCCACAGCTCCACTGCAGAAGTATCAGGACAGTGCACTGAGAGCTTCAGGCGGAGAGAAAGCACTACCCCCATGTGGATCACATGAGAACCAGAGTAAGTAGAGGCCAGATCAGCCACACTTGGTTGCCCAGGCTACAAATGGGGCAGTTCACATAGCCAGTGGCAGCTCTAGGACAGAGAGCCTTACTTCTTGGACTAAGACTATAGACTAATAATCCCAGCTCTCTCCAGACTGAAGCCTTCCATTCATTAAGTTTCAATGTAAATGTCATTTTTCCAGAGTGACCTTCCTTCTTAAAATGGGTCCCCATTCTCCCCCAACTGTCACTCACAATATACCAATTATTTCTATTACTCGTTCACAATCAAACATGTCAGTCAGCTAGCCTCTTGGCTTGCCAGATAACCATCCCAGCAGCTTGCCCTCCAATGTCCACACTACCTAACTCCCTGGCATGTGCTGTCATCTGTTTGCTAGCCTTTCTACTCCACGAGGCTGGCAGGGGCTTTCCTGGCAGAGCATCCGGACTAGTGCCTGGCACAACAATGGCTGCCCATAAACAGATGAGTGTATAAATGACTATGGAATAAAAGCTTGCTTATAGAGTTCGTGTGTACGCATGTGTATATACACGTGCGCATGTGTGCATGTGGAAGCTGGAGGACAAGCTGGTGTTATTCCTCAGGAACCATCCACCTTGATTTTAAGAGACACAGTCACTGGTATGGAACTCACCAAACAGGCTAGGCTGCCAGGCCAGTGAGCCCAAGGGATCTGTCTATCTCTACTGCCCCATGCAGGGATTATAAGGGCAAGTCACCATGCCTGATTTAAAAAAAAACAAAAAACAAAAAACAAAACACCGTGGGTTCTGGGGATTGAACGCAGATCCTCACGCTTACAAGAAAACCTATTTACTTCTCTTGAGTATCAGCCCAGCCTCATGAAATCTTAGTGGACAAACACCTTAGGACTGATGCCTATTGTCTTCATTTCTATCTCTATCTAAAGTCTTGGAGTTATTCTGAAGCCAAGACACACATACTAGGCAAAGACTTATTCTAGCAAAGATAATATGTTCCTAGTAGGACGAAATAGAAAATAATGTGGTTGTGGCAAGGCACAGACATACACACACACTCCTTTTTACCAGGGACATACACAATCCCAAGCATATTACCTATTTCCTGAGTCTTGACCCCCACCCCAATTCTCAGAAATAAGTAGAGTCTGTTCACAACAGCCCAAACCCTCTTTTGGGGACCAGCACTACTTACCTGGATTAACAGTGATAAATTTGCTGTCCTCAGAAAATCGGTCCCCTTGGGACATAGGCTTTTTGGATGGCATTTCCGGCCTCCTGGGATCACTCCCTGAATAATGTTCCTCTGTGGCTGTTGGGGGCACTTGGGTGGCTGTGTCCGCATGGGCATCCAGGCCTGGGGCGGCATGGCTGGGCTGATCTGTTGGGGGGGCAGTGTGGTCCTGCCCGTGCCCAGGTATAGTCTGATGACCTCCCTCTGCAGTCCTGTGGGGAGATGAGGGGCTGGGAGCAGGTGCTGTCCGGTTCCTCTCCTCAGCAGTGTGGGTGACCTCACCCTTCTCCTTCTTCTCAGAGTCCTTCTCTCCCTCCTCCTCATGCTCCCGCTCTCCATCCTCGCTCTCACTTTTCTCATCCTTCTCTCCCTCCTCAGCACCCTCGCTATCCTTGGTGGGTGCCGAGTCACCGTCAGGCCCAGGAGAAGCCAAGGCCTCTGTGGTGGCTAGGACTGGCCTCCCTGCCTGCTTGCTAGCCGCCGCTGCAGTGGGAAGGCGTGTGGGCCACACAGTACTGGGGAAGGAAGAGATGCCGCCACCACCGAAGCCCAGGCCTGCCAGGAGTGTGCTGGTGACCACTGAGGCCACTGTGGCTTGGCTGCCACTGGAGGAAGGGCCCATCCCAGTTGCCATGGAAACAAATGAGAAGGGGATGCCAGAAGATGTCCAAGTAGAAGACCCGGAGCTGATGGGGGCCATGTCTGCTGAAGAGGCAGGAGAGGCTGTGGGCTGAAAGGTGGAGAGAAGCAGATGGAGGAAAAGCAGAGCAGTATCAGGATTAATAAATTTAACAAATTAGTAAATGATCAAGATTCAAAATGAGGCCCTGCATGGTAAAAACCTCAAAATTTCAGTCATCCACTCTATGGTATGAAAGCTGACCACAGCTGGTCCATGGGTGACCAACTCTTATTTTGCTTGCTTTATAGTTACATTGAAATAAAATGTTAACTACTGTATCAAGCTCAACGTCTCAGTGGTTTGGCTCAGGGCGGGGCTAAGTGAGGGAAATGAAAAGCATTAAAACTATCTTAAAGACAATAATTCATAATGAAAATATCAGTCCAGTGATATGTCTCCGAGAAACAGGAACAGATGCTGTAGATCAACGCCTGACACTCTGGTGACTCTTTAGTTCTGAAGTCTGAAGGGCCCCAGTATGAAGCCAAACTGTACTATCTTACAGTGATACAATAAAGAGATCACCATGGAAGATGGCCTGCCCAGGTCAACAGTGGCACGGTCAGAGGTAGGAGCCACACTCTGCACACAAGCTCTAAGAAGCAGGATATATCTCCAAGCTGCATGCAGTACAGCCACTGTGCCTTTCAAAGTCCCAACCTCTCTCCATAGCAACACCTACTCCCATGTGGATGGCAACAGTAAGGACAACAGTGAGAGTTCCACTTGACAGGTGACAGAACTGAGCCAGGACTTTCCATGCTACCCACTTTACAGGTGAGGAAACTGAGGCTCAGAGGTGTTAAGGAGCTTATCCAAAGTGCATGATTTCTAAGGTGCAGAGATAAGGCTACCTATGACCTAACCTCAGCTCATTCTTCCCCCTATACTAGACTGGGGTTCAGTGAGGAACCCTGTTTTATCCATGTAAGGTATCTTATGAAAATAGGAAGTGTTCTGGGATCTTGGCTTAATTTTGCTCCTTTAAAAGTCACTGTACAGAATCCAAAATTGTATCTCTTCATTTACACACTTTCAAAACAACAAGCAAAACAAGACAGGCTTTGAAATTTCATCAAGTTTTACATGGAAATCCTTGAAATTTAAGAATGACCTGTGTTCGGAAGCTGGTTAGTGAAAATCAAGCAGTACAGAAGATTATGCATGAAGTATAGATAAGCCCTACAACCCAGGCTTGAGTTGACCCCCAGTGCTAGGACCATGACCTTAACTCACTGAGCCTCAGTTTCTTGGCCTGTCCAATGGGACTAATAGTATTATCAACTCTGTGGGCTATTTTGGAGAAGCAAACAGAATAATCTGTGTTTTGAAAGCCAGGATGCACTTCATTAGTTTCAGGCTACTACTGTTATCTTCAGCACTGGAAATGTTTCTATGATTAGTAGTTGTTCCAAGAGCAGAAACTGATTTACTCAGGGCCTGCAAATCCATGTAACCCTGAGCAGGCCAGTCTCAGATTTTAGGTCATGCAGAGCAAAGGGCTCTGGATAGGCTAACTCCTGGGATCCCTCAGTCCCAGGGATCATAAATAATTACATATCTGGGAGAGTTTGATTTTGACAAAATTATATAGCAGAAACACCTAATGCTGTTGTATAGGTTGTTTTCATAATACACAAAATGACACAATGAATAATGTATTTTTCTGTTTCAGCCTGCTCTCACATGGAGCAGTTCATCAGCATTATACTGCCACCTCGTGGAAAGAGCTCTAACTGCATTCAAATTAACACCCGACCCTGATAATCTTCACCCACCACTTACCACTCCGGTTTTCACAATTCTGGTCCCTTGGAATATTCGGGTAGTATTAGCTAAGAAATAAAGAAGTCACAGCGTAAACAACATACAATATTTTAGATGTGTTTCCAACAAAACTTTACTTATGGACACAAATCTGAACTACACAGAATTTTCCTGTCACAGAATATTTACTTTCCCCAACCATTTCAACAATGTGAATCATGCACAAGTGTTCAGAGGAGCTGTATCTGCCCTGGGATCCACAGTTCTTGATTCAAGACATTAATTTTAAAATTTACAATTAGGGGGCTGGAAAGATGGTTCCGCAGTTAAGAGCACTGACTGCTCTTGCAGAGGACCGGGTTCGATTTCCAGCCCCCACATGGCAGCTACAAACCGTCCTTAACTCCAATTCCAGGGGAATTTGATGTTCTCTTTTGACCTCCAAGGGCATCGACACAGGTACACTTACATACAAGCAGGAAATACACTCATACACATGAAAATAATAATAAAATATTTGAAAATTTTACAAGTATTGTAGTTTTGTTTTATTGAGAGAACATACCTAACACACCAATATACAGCTGAATTATTTTTACATATATAAATACCCATGTCACTACCACCCATGTTAAGATCCATTCTCTAGTACTGCTGGGCTTCTAAGTGTTGTGTATTTTTAATTAATTATTTTATGTGTGTGAGTGTATTGCCTGAACGGATCTAAGTGCACTCATGCTATGCAATGTCTGCGGAGGTCAGAAGAGGATGTTGGATCCTCTAGAACTGGAGTTATGGATAGTTGTTAGACTCCATGTGGGTGCTGGGAGCTGAACCCGGGTTGTCTGCCTGAGCAGTTCCAGGGGATCCAACATCCTCTTCTGACCTCCACAGGAATTTTAAAACATGGGTGCCCTTACATACATGCAGGCAGTACCCTCATATACATAAAAATAAAAATAAATAAAATATAAAAAGTTTAAGACCTGTACAATAACTCTTCGCCTGTCATATACTTGCTACTTATATTCTGATATTCTATAAGCATGCTTTACATGGTTATATAATTTTATATAATTTTCTTTCTTCAGTTCTGTCCTCCCATGTGGTATTTTTAAAAATATATTTTATTGGGGCTGGAGAGATGGCTCAGTGGTTAAGAACACTGACTGGTTCTTGCAGAGGATGTAGGTTCAATTTCCAGCACCCCATGGTGGCTAACAACTATGTATAGGTAATACACACATACACATAAAATTAAAAATAATGAAATATTTTTAAAATTTTATTTATTTTTATTTTACGTGTATGAGTGTTATGCCTTCATGTATGTAAGTGAACCCATGTTGTGCAATGCCTGTGGAGGTCAGAAGAAGGCATCAGATTCCCCTGGAACTGGAGTTACGGACCGTTGTTAGCTGCCATGTGGGTATTGAGAATTGAACCTGGGTCTTCTGTAAGAGCAGCCAGTGCTCTTAACCACTGAGCCATCTCTCCAGCCCCACCCCTCAATTTTTTTTTTTTTTCCCCAAGGATAGAACCTTTATTGGATTAAACAATATTAAAAAGAGTTGATTAGTGAGGAAAAATACCCAATCAAACATTTGAAAACATATTTTTGGTGGTTAATATAGGACATATTCATTATATAAAGAACTTTACACATAAATTTATTATTTACTTCACAAATACAGTTGAAGTGCTTACTGGGTGCCAGCATGGTTTAGGCCCCTGGGATTCAGCAAGAACAAGGGCCGGTGAAAACAGCTGCCTCTCAGATGCTTCTACTTTGGCAGGGAAGCAGGTGGCATTTTTAAGCAATATAATTTTAACATCTTTTAAATTGCATTAAGATACATGTAATATAAAATTTACCATATTAATCCTTTTTAAGAGTCTGCTCTGGTAATATCAGACCATTCATATTATCGTGCAATGGACCATCACCACCGTCCATCCTCAGAACTTCATCTTGTAAAACGGAAGCTCTGGGGACACCCACTAAGTCATGTCCTCCCACTTTCTATGAATGTGACTACTCTGGACACTGCATGTACATGTAGTAATGCATGTTTATCAGTCACAAAGATGTGGCTGCAAAGTTCCACTGAACACAGTATCCCTAAAGGTCACTCATGCAATACAGGCATGAGTCAGAATTTCTTTATTTTTTAACACCCAATAATATTCTACTGTGTGTCCATAGTGCGTTTGTTTATCCATTCATCCATCAGGAAGCATCTCACTACTGAATAATGCTGAATATTATGACCTAGAAGAAACATATCTAGCTTTCTCTTTCTGGTTATTTCAAAAAACAATAGTGTTATATAAACTGAAAATTGATCTCCTATATATATAGCGCTGAAATACTAGGAAAAAGGCAAGTTAATAAAGTTAACACATACTTGCTTTTCACCTAAACCCAAAACTGGTAAGGGACCCACCATATTTCTGTTTGCCCTTGTATGATGGCTCATCTTGTTTTCAACTTGACACACTTGGGAAAAGGGAACCTCAATTGGAGAATTTCCTCCATCACCTTGGCCTGTGGGCATGTCTGTGGGGAGGCCCCAGCCCGCTGGGGCAGTGCCACGCCTGGGCAGGTGGATCTGGATTGTGTAAGAAAGCTGGCTGAGCATGAGCCAGGGGAGCAAGCCAGGAAGCAGCACTGCTCTATGGTCTATGCCTCAGCGATGCTCAACGGTGGGCTGCAATCTGTAAGCCAAATAAACCCTTTCCTCTCCAGGTTGCTTTTGATCACGGTGGTTTGCTTGTTTGTTTGTTTATGTATTGGAGACAGGGCCTCCCTGGAGCCCCAGCCTGCCTGAAACTCACTATGTAGACCAGGCTGGCCTTGAACTCACAGAGATCTGCCTGCCTCTGCCTCCCAAGTGCTGGGACTAAAGGAATGCACCACCACGCCCAGCCTGATCATGGTGTTTATCACAGCAACTGAAAGCAAATCAGGATACGCTATATGTTTAAAAAAACAAACAAACAAACAAATTTGCTATCTCTTAAAATTTATTTCACTTTCCTTTAAGATCCCTACTTTCCTGCTTAACTGAAAAATTAAAGTATTGGCAAGCCCATGCTTAACTTTCTGCAGGACATCACTTGGGGGCCAGCCTGCCATGTGCTTTCTTTAGGCACCTGGTGTCCTGTTTCTTACCTCCTCACCTGAGTCCTTTGCCATGGTCACCTCAATTCATAAGCCCTGGCATAATGGTGTACTTATTTTATATCAGTAAAATTGTACTGTTCAAAGAGAGAAATGTGGAGAAGGATCTAAAAGTTAATATAACTGTTTAGATCCCAGGTCAAACAAGATAGGTAAGGAAGGAAAGAGTCTTGGTCTTACTCTAGACTAAATACAGCCTCCCATGATCCAGACTGAGCAATTATGCACACCTATTCTCAACACAGGAAAAAGGGCTCCTGAGAGACCTGCCTTGCCTGGTCTTTAAAGGGGGCTCCAATGAAGGCCAACAAACTCAACAGCCATCCCATTAGCCCTCCATCTTTTCATCAGTCTTGAGCAGTCTCCATCAATGTAACCATAGTGCTGGTGACTAGAAGTTCCTACGAGACCTTTTAGATGTGGAATGCTTTATCTAGGGCCAAGGGGACTAGTGGACTGGGGTCAGAGGGGAAATAGGACCTCTTCTCGCTGACCCTCCTGCAGTGGCGCACTTACTTCCAGGGTGAATGTGGGTCTCAGCCACATTCTCGGGCTATGCAACTTGGTCTCTGATTGAAATCACTGATGACTTCAATACTGCCTGAGCATCGCAGTTCCTTTAGAGTATCAGTGATGTTCATCACTGCTCAGTAATCACAGCGCTCATGGACAAACTGCTTGTCATTTGATGCATTAGTACATGCATCACCATATTGCAAATTTGTTTAAAATATGATGCCGGGCTGGAGAGATGGCTCAGTGGTTGGAAGCACTGAATGCTCTTGCAGAGGACCCGGGTTCGATTCCCAGCACCCATACGGCAGCTAACTTAACTCTGGCTCCAGGGGAATCCAAAGCCCTCTTCTGACCTCTGCAGCACTGCACGACATGGGTGCACTCACATACATGCAGGCAATACACTCATATACATGAAATAAAAATAATAAATAAAAATTAAAAAAAATACAGTGACAAGTGGATTTGAATATAATTGGTTCCCTTCCTACGCATGGTTCTTCTTTAAGGCTATCCTGAGGGTGGATCTGAGCTTCGTCAGGCTGCTTAATAGGTCTTGGACTCGAGCAAAAAGCTCAAAGTTCAAGAACCGGCCCCCGACCCCCACACACACATAATGACTGCTGAGAGCTGTGAAATGGCTTGGGGTAGTCATCCATCAGTCTTGTAACCCTTATTTCTGAGGACTTGGTGCACATACATACTCGGGGGTGGTCTGTTATGTGTGTGGCTGGTGGAGCCTTAGGATAAGAACAAGGAACCCTATTCAGTAGCTGAGAGATGTTTCTTAAGTTACTTGCACCCTGAACATAACTTCTCCACTTGTAAAACAAAACAACCGAAAAAAAAGAAAAGAAAAAGAAACCAGGATAGTTGATTCAATTTTAACTATTTATTTATTTAGTTGGGAGCGTGTGCATTCCACAGTGCATGTGCCACAGTGTGTGTGTGTTTGTGTGTGAGTAAATTTATGTTTGAAAACTTAGTTATTATGGAAAAAAACTTTATTGAAATTTTCTAAGCTTTCTTCTTTACTTCTTAAAACTTTGGTCTGAATAGTTGGTGAATTTTTGTGTTGGCCTTTCTGGTTCGATAGCACCTCCCTGGCTCAGGTGGAAAGAAGGGTTAGGCTGTTTCCATATTTACACGGGTATTATAGGGGAAATGCCAAGCCCTTGTTGGGGAGGTGTGAAGAAAGGACCTATTCCTTTATTGACATATGGGAACAAATGTAGTATACAAAGTGAGTCAACTCCCATCCAAAGCAGACAGAGTGGTAGATATCTAAGGATACTGGCCATTTCAGTGTGATCAGACATTTAAAATGCTCCCTACTTGAACTTATAGCTGATGGCACCTTTTTAGAATTACATTATATTACATACATTTAATTTTTCAAAGTCCATGCAGAAACGAGGCATCTCGGGGCTATTAATCAGAGAGGCAGTTCTGCAAATCTAAGGCTCCTGTTGGGAGCACGGGGAGGCCTAATCATGATTTACGGGTCTGAAGTTCTCAGGCCCAGCCGCAGCAGGCTCCCAGTCTATTCTCCCTTCTCCTCCCTTGCCTTGGCTTGTGGTCCTCACTCAAAACAGAGTGGGATTAACACATTCAGAGTATGTGTAGACACAGATTTATTTATGGAAAAAATGCAACTACAGTAAATTTCAATTAATCTTAAAAAGAAAGATGAAATCATTAACAAAAAATATGTAAATACCACATGTAAAATTTTCAGTTCCTTAGAAGGAATTTCTGCTGGAGGGCTTCCTACCCTGGGTTCATCAACTACTACTTTTTATATCAATCTAAGGCAGGCTGAACCTTCAGGAGCACTGGCATGGCGATCAAATTATTTGGGATATTAGAGTATTTGGATTCCACAATTTTTGGATTAGGGAGCTCAACTGGTCAAGTATAGGCAAATACTTCACATAATGGGGACTCATAAGAAGCTGTTGGTTCAGAGTCCTGTAATTAGCACTCTGCCAACTGCTTGATACCCATCACCCTGAGTTATTGTACAGTGCCCCCATGAGGTTGGAAATACTATTAGTTTTGGAGTGGCTAACTGCAGCTTTGAGAAGATATGTTCTCAGTGCGCTTCCTACCCAACACCCGCCCTCCAGAGCCCAGCTTCAACCCGACATCCTTAAGCCCTTAATGTGCCTGCCAGTGACCACAACCACTTGCTAGAACTAGTATTCCTGGGCCCAATGCTGAGACTCTGAGGCAGTTGGTTTGGATGGGGTCTGAGAATGTGCATGGCTCACCAGGTTCTAGATGCAGGCTTTACACCTTGCCCACATGCTTTACGGGGTCTCTGTAGTTTTACACCAATTTCTGACATTTTCCAGGGGAAAACTCCCAACATATGAATCAGATCCACAACTCAAAAAGTTAAGCATCAGTTGATGGAGTGGCACATCCCTAGTTAGACCCTATCTCAAAAAAACATCTGGCAAACAAAAATGGGGTAACAATACCGGCCTGGTGTATAGGCTTCCCATTATAAAGACAGGAAAGTTCAGGCCCTGAGGGGTACAGCGCTCAAGCAGTAAGAGACGGCATGGAGTCCAAGGCCCTGGCCTTCAGTTCTTCATTGGACTTCGTGACTATTATGAAAATAGATCCGTAAACTAAGACCCACAGATTAGCTGCCAATTTTTGAAAATAATACTAGAACCAGGGTTAGGCTGGGGCAGGTAAGACTCTCTTTATTCATGTAATTTTTGTTGTTATATTTTTGGTGCTGAGAGTGAACTCCAGCCTCATATATGCTAAGCACATGCTGTGCTGCTGAATTATACTGAACTGAACTATCTTTATTTAAAATTCTGATATTTCATTTTTGAAATCTCTGTACTGACTACTTTAAAAATATATACCCCCATTAAAATATTATAAGGCAAAGTTTCACTTGCTTCACCCTAGATCGGGCCCTAGAACCTTCTACAAGTCCTTGGTGTGCACAGAACATCACTCTCTAGACTGAGTCTTGAAGATCCTGTACACACACGCTTGTCTGTGTGGCTTGCAAGCTGGAAGGATGAATTTCATGTCCTGGGTTCCAATTTTTAAAGGAACAGTGGCGGAGCTCATGCTAGGTGTTTAAAAAAATTCTAAGATATGACTCCAAGGTGATTTCATGATCTGCCACAGTCGTAAACAAACACCAAAAATATAGTTTGATTATCGTCTCTTCTTCTGGCCTCTGAAACCTCTGACCCCAAAGACAGATCTAAATTACTAGAATGTTCTAGTTATAGTTCATACCCTACATGGATCCTTGAGCCAGGTTCCTTTTCAATTTCTCCAAGCCCACGAAGAGGAAAAAGATGGAGCTTGAAGAGGAAGGGGGTTGGAGACATATCAGGAGGGAGAAAGAAAGAAAACCAAACTCACCTTGAAAGAGCATCGTCTGACTGAAGTCGCTGCGCATGTCATTCCGACACACAGCCTGGACTCGGAACAGATAAAGGCTATCGGGTGAGACATGGCTAATGGTGGCTTTCTGTAGGGAAAGAGAGAGAGGGCTCTGAGTTAGTTTTGAAAGCCAATAGACACTGAACACCCTGAAACAAACCTGGGCATCCCAGGAGCCCTGATCCGAGCTCTCTTTGGATAGAAAGACAGCTCAGAAATGGCCTTGCCTGAAAAATCTGTTTTCAACAATGAAATACACAGAAAGGGAGAAATGCCAGTATCTGGTCCATGCTTGGGATGCCTTTAGTCTTCTTCATGCCCTCAAGGCTTGGATTTCTGCCATAATTACTGTACCTTAGAAACTATTTATCCTCAACAGCCTCTAGAATTATCAAATAATTGATCTCCAGGGCCATGTAAACTTTAGAAAAAAAAAAAAAATCAAGAAATTCTCTGCCTGCATGTTTTTTTGTAGTCTTAAGGCCTCATCACAAGGAAGAACGTCACTGGAGTCATGGATGTAACTTGGCCACACCACTCTCTAGCTGTGTGACCCTGAAACAGCTGTTCAGTACCTTCCAGCTTTTGCTCCCTTCTACTGTGATGTGTGGAGAGGAACAGCCACCTACCAGGGGTGTAGCAAGCAGGCAAACTTTGTTCAAAGGTCGATTAAGCAAAGCACTGGAAAAAGCACCACAGTCTAGCATAGTCATCAGCAAGCGACAACCTGTGTGCCAGATCCAGCAAAGCATTTGTTTTTATAAAGTTTTATTGGCACACAGATACAGCCATTCATTGTGTGTGTGTGTGTGTGTGTGTGTGTGTGTGTGTGAGAGAGAGAGAGAGAGAGAGAGAGAGAGAGAGAGAGAGAGAGACGGTTACTTTCATCCTGACAAGGTTGAGTAGTTATGACAGACTATATGACTCAAAAGCCTCAGGTCACCACCATTCTTTGATGCTTCATCTCAACAGCCTTTAACAATAAGGAAATGGGGAACCACAGAGAAAGCTCAGCAGTTAAGAGCACTGACTGCTCTTGCAGAGGACCTGGGTTCGATTCCCAGCACCCACAGGGTGGCTAACAACTGTCTATTAACTCCCGTTCCAGGTGATCTAACGCTGTCTTCTGACTTCAACAGGTATTGCACGACACGGGTGCACTTACATACATGCAGGTAATACACTCATACACATAAAATAAAAATAATAAATAAAATATTTAAAAAACATTTACTTAAAAAAAAAGAAAAGAAAGGGAACAGACCTATAATGCAGGCAGTATTTGCTTCCTGACAAGCAGTAGAAGCCCACGGTTTGAGGCCCCTCCTAATGAATCGTGGGTCTTCTCATGGAAATGTGTATTCTGGGTCACACTGTGAGCTGAACCATCAAGAGGGCTTTCCTGGTGCAGCCCGTGGAGCCCTCTGGCCTGGTATGTGCACACTACTGTGGTCACCCTAGCTGCTGTTACTAGGAAGCAACTTCCGGATGGGGGCTGGAGGTTCAGGTCATGATATTTAGAGGCAGATTTCAGCCTTTTTGGAGGAAAAGGTAGTGAAGACACGTGGCCCAGGGGCTTGTGATGGAGGCTTGGAATGGGGTGCAGGCAGGAAAATGCTGCATAAATGCTAAGTACTCTGTTTGGACTTCTGGGACTCAGTAACCATGAGTTGGAGGACAGTTTTGTTTCCCTAAGTCAGCATTTCTGACGTATGGCAGAATTAGGAAAATTAATTTTGTGTGTCCTGAAAGAAAAAAACAACAACTAGAAATCCTTATGAAATAGAAGTTGCTGTCGAAGCATGTTTTTCTCTACATCTCTCTTTGTCTCTGAATATAATTTATGCCTCATTTTCTAAACTTCCGACCCCATCTTCTGTTCAGAGTAAAGTCTTCACTCTATCTATGCAGGGATTTATTAGAATTCGCTCCAAGCTGGTATCTACTCATCTTTGCATGTTTAATTATTTTCCACTTAGAACAAGAAACTGAATAAGCACTCAGATAGTTTCTACTGATTAATGTAAGCCAGCTTGACTTTAGAGGAAGAAAAGTCCCTGATGGACTTCCAGAAGTGACAAGAGAAAGGTTAAAATACACCATAACCTTGGGTGCCTTTCAACAGATTCCTCTCTGATTCATGAGGCTCTCTGTTCCCTAATGTGACCCAGATAACAATGTCTAGTGGGGAAATTGAAAATATAAATGGAAATGAAGTAAAAGAATCTTCATCTAAAGGAATATGAAAAGTATTATTCTATAACTGATTGAATGGACCCTGAGGACTCTCTATTGGGAGGGGAAAAAGTGATAAGTCATTAAGAGTCTCACTTGGAGCCACTGCATTTTTCATGTGCATATACAATTATGGGCTTCATTATTCTGGGGCCTTCCTTTGATTAACAATAAACGCAGCAAGGCTTTCAAACCCAAGTGTGTCACTCTGAGTTTCTCTGTGCGAAGACTTAAAGATGAACACTTGTTGGAGGGTTTGCAGTGATAAGGGAGGAAGACAGCTTTTACAAGTAGATGCTCTAAAGGGCCTTGTTAGCTGTCTGATGCTAAACATTTGTGGAAATCTGAAGAAGACTGAATGAATGAATGAAGGGCCAACACTGGCTGCTCTCGCAGAAGACCTGGGTTCAGTTCCCAGCACCCACATGATAGCCAACAACCATCCATAACTTTAGTTCCAGGGGATCCAATGCCCTCTTCTGGCCCCTGCGGGCATTTCACACACGGGTGCACTTACATACATTCAGGCAAACTACTCACACACATAAATTTTTTAAAAGTTAATTAAAGAATATTTGTGTTTATGTATATGTATGCATGTTTGCCTGTGTAAGTGTGGGCATACATGTCTATGGCATGTGTGTGGAGGTCGGAGGACAGCTTCAAGTGTTGACCGTTACCTTGCACCTCGTTTGAGACAGGATCTCTTCTTGTTCACTGCTGCCCACACCAGGCAGCTGCCCTTAAGCTCCCTGTGTCCACCTCCTATCTCCCCAGAGGAGTGCTGGGATTGCGATGTGCCCTGCTGCATCTGGATTATGTAGGTTTTAGAGATCCAAACTCAGGGGCTCCCTCTTGCACAGCAAGTGCTGTACCACTGAGCAGTCTCCCCAGCCCCAGTAGCCAATGTTGAAGGGCCAACACAAGGACATTAACTAACTCTTCCTGTGGGTGCAGCTAGCTGTAAGTATAAGGCAGGATGGAACCCAGGCAGCTATAGCCCCAGCAGGCAGAATAAGGACAGGATGCTACACAGCATACCACATGGAGTCTGGCTGAAGGTCCCTAGGCTCTATGAGGTGAGCATGGACCTGGACTTGGAACAAGAGGGCTCACCAAGTCCTTGTCGCTGTCCTTTGTAAACGTCTTCTCCTTCTCATCCTCGTTCTTGGTCCAGCTGTAGGAGATCATGTAGTTCATGATGGGCGGGTGGTAGATGGTTTCAGGCTGGCTCCAGGACACCTGTAGTGCCGTCTGGTTCAGAGGCTGCACCTTCATGTGGATGGGCGGAGAGCTGCAAACTGAAGTCATATCCAAGATCAGAGGGTGGTGGCACAACCTGCCATCCAGTGCATGCCCCTTAACTCCAGCCAGCAAGGAAATGGTGCTTCAGGTACCTAAACCTAAACCCTACTAACATTTTGCAACACCAGGTCTCTTCCGTATGCGTGTACCTCTTTATTTCTCTATGGTATGATTGTGTATGTGCAGGCATGTGTCCAAGTGTATGTGTGTGTGGAGGCTAAGGATAACCTTAGGTATCACACCTCAGGAATCATCTACTTTTTCAAGACAGTGTCTCTCATTGGTCTAGAACTTACCATGTAGGCTGAGCTGACCAGTAAGCCCCAGGTATCTGCTTGTTTCCACCTTCACAGTGCTGGGATTATATGCAATAGGCATTTTTATGCCTGGCTCTTTTTTTCCCATGGGCTTTGGGGATTGAGCTCAGGTCCTCATACTTCCAACACAAGAACTTTACTAACTGAGCAATCTCCCCAACTCTCTTTTCTAATTCATTCATTCATTCATTCATTCATTCAGGCATGGTCTTGCTCTGTAGTCCAGACTGCCCTTAAACTCATGATTTTACTTCCTTAGGATCCTAAGTCCGCGGATTGCAGGCATGTCACACACACACACACACACACACACACACACACACACACACACCCCTACCTGTTTTTCAGTTAATTAGACACACTATTTCTTCAACCCTAAGTATTCTGGCCTACTACTATTAAGAAATAGAACATTCTCTCACATAACCACAATACCATTATCCTATATAAGAAATCACAGGCCGGGTATGGTGATAAATGGCCTTTAATCCTAGCACTCGGGAGGCAGAAGCAGGCAGATCTCTGTGAGTTCAAGTCCAGCCTGGTCTACATAGTGAGTTCCAGGCCAGTTGGGGCTACAGAGAGACTATGTCTCAAACAGACCAAAAATAAATAAATTAATTAAAAAAAAATAATAAATCACATGTTGATTCAATCGTATTATCTCAAACACAGTTCATATTCAAATCTGTCCCATTGTATTAAAAGTCACTTTCTGTCACCCTCCTTCACCCTCCATCTAATATAGAACTCTCCTCTGATCTTTTCTTCATGACAGACTTTTTGAGGACACCAGGACATCTGGAGAAGTGTCCCAACTAACTAAAATTGCAGGTGAAATTTTATAGTAAAAATATCAAAGTATACATGTAACGTAGACTTTAAATGGTCTTAAAGGAAAGGCACACACCAAAAAGATGGCTTTCTTGAACCTGTGTAATTACTCCAATGTGGGGAATAAGGAGAGGTGGCGCTAATCCATCCTTCCATCCCTGTGGCTGGGAGGGGTAAGGCACATGATGGATCCACATCAGCTTAGGTGAACCTGCTACAGGGCTGAGAGCTCTGGGTGGGCCTTCAGACGTGTGAATGGAACAGTTCATTGCTCTTGGGGATGGACAGGGAACAATGCCAAGCCTCTTCACACTGTTACACCCAAACTCATCTCCAGATATAGACAAATGTCTCCTACAGGGCCTCTTCCCTCAATGGAGAACCACCAGTCTCCATAGGGGAAATGAAGATTCTGGAAGGGAATCATCCATGTAAACGCTGATACTGAACATCAGGGCTGGATAAATGACGGGAAGGAGAGCCTCACTGTGTTTCTGAAGCACTTTGGGGAAGGATGCCCGTCCTCTGTGGGCGAGGACTCTGTTGAGGAAGGTACCTTCAACCGGGAGACTGGGAATTGGAAAAGAATGGAAGGCAGAGGGCTCACAGGGGTAAGGACACAGGGTCTGAACAGGTGAGAGAGCAAGGCGGAGAACAAGAGCCAGCGAAGAGACAGGCGCAGCTGGACTGAGAGGCCTTGAGGACCAGGTTAGGGTTCAGACCTTTCTTCCAGGAATCCCTGGAAACCACGGGAAAAATCTGAACCCAGAATGACAAGGTGAGGTTATTTTTGACAAAGATCCCTTTGTTCCCAACAGAGCACATAGGCCCCAAAGGAGGAGGTGGTCCGTGTAAAAGTATAGATGGCACTGTGTGTACTTTAGGGTGGGACTGTGTCTAGGAGAATGGCAGATTCTAGAACAGGATGTAAACCTGAGAGGCCTAACAGTGGGTCAGGTGGTGAGAAGTGGTCAAGAGGGAGGCAGTGGAGCAGGTGTCGGGTAGAGGAGCTACATCAAGTGAGCATGCTGGGGCAGACAGGCTTGGGAACGTCACTGAAACTTCCGGAGTCCAACTGTATGCCAAGCAGAGCACCCAGAGCCAAACACCCTATATCCCTCCCCAGGCCCAAACCCAAGGCTGTCTTGGAAGCCACTGGCCACACTCATGCCAAGAAGCAGGGGCAGCTTTGGCTGCAGCTGTGGAAAGAAAAGTACTCCTGGCTGACCAGAGGCTTTCTCTGGTTCTGAGATGTTTTTTGTGTGGCTTCCATAGGCAGGGGGAGAGGGATTAATGAGGCTTTCTCACCATCAGGCAGGACTCCTGGGGGCATCACAGGACCAAGCAATTGCCTTCAGAGAAGGGGTATCAAACAAAGAATCTGAAGGCTTCCCAGGAGTGTTCCAAGGTGACATGACAGACAACAGACACTAGGTGGCACCAAGGTACTATTTTTAAATAGCCTACTTACTAGGATCGTGTTTCTCAAGACTGAGAAAAATAAAACAGCTAAAATCCACACCCCCATCTTTCTTAATGCAGGCAGTGAAGCCAGAAGATTTATGTATTGGGAATCATCTATACTTCACAAGGACGACCTAACTTCTCCAGCTCTCACCTCCTACCACCATGTTCTTATTTATTTTCCTTTTCTGAAGCCATTCACTCCCCTGCTTCAATTAATGGTGCTGTCGGGGACACATCTCTCTCCAGCAGTTACGTCACAGCCACACACATAATCCTAGCGCCCACGTGCGAATGCAGCCATTCTTATTAATTATTGAAATGAAAATAGTTGGGCTTTTCTGTGCAGATTAAGATGGCTCATGTTATATTTTTAATTGTGTAGTACAAAAAAGTAAGAAGTTGAAAGATTCACCCTCAGTGAAACTGTGATCAGTGTCTACATAGGTACCTGTCTCTTCGTGCACATATGAAAGAAGATATACAACTGGTGGTGCATGCTGGGGTGGCGGCGCACACCTTTAAACCCAGCGCTCGGGAGGCAGGGGCAGAGCGGATCTCTGTGAGCTCAAGTCCAGCCTGGTCTACATAGTGAGTTATAGGCCAGCTGGGGCTACAGAGAAACCTTGTCTCAAAAAGACCAAAACAAACAAACAATTAGTGGTACATGCCAGTAATCCCAGAACTCCTCAGGCTGAGGCAGGAAGCTCTAAGGTTTGCAAGTGTGTGAGACAAAATGGAACAAGAATAAACCACCTCTAACCCCAAGCAAACAAGCAGGAAGACTAGAGGTATAAGGTCTGCGAGTGACCTTCATGTAGGTTGTGTTTTAGTAAGCTATGGCTGTATTTCCTCACAGGAAAGAGTGTTAGGTATGATTGCTTTGAGTGACAGCACAGAACCCACTATCTCCACATTCTAGGAATTACTGAGTTAAGGCTCTCAAAGGACAGGTCTGGCCTTTGCAAGATCACTTGTCTCGAACTTCTGGAACTAAGAGCTCACCCAACACCCACACTTGCTGCAGGCTCCACGTCAGAAGAGCTAGAGGTAGTGAGGCGCTGGCAGGCCAAGGAGGCCCCCTCTGTCTCCAGCGTTAGAGAAGCTCGGTGTGAACACAAATTTCCCTTTCCGGCATTCCCCACCGGGGATCCCCTCCCATCCTCCTGGACAGTAGTCTCTGGAGGTGCAGTGTGCATGACGTGGAAGAAGCTTGCAGAGTATAGCATTAGAAGGCCCTAGAACAGAGCTTGGCAGGCTTTTCTATTCCGACTTTGCGAGTCACGTGGTCTTTATTGCAACTACGGCCACTGCAGTGTCAAGAGTTGGGGTCACGAACCAATGTGGCCCGGGAGAAATTTATGCACAGACACTAAATTTCAGTTTTGGCCATTTTCAATGACTCTCAAAATTTGATCTTTTTGAATCGTTTAAAGATATTAAAACCATTCTTTACGTTACACAAAAGCTGGTACTGGATGAGTTTTGGCCTGTCCATCAGCGGTTTGCTCATTTCAGAGTGAAATGATAAAACGGATTTGTATTCTCAGCACTGAATTCAGCCCTCAGCAAAGCCTGAGAGGCGGCTACTCCACAGAACACTCACAACCACTGCCGCTTCACTCACTATCTGGAACAATCCGCCTCCCCGACTGGAGTGAGGCTGGTGCCTTTTTGGTCTTGTTCCACATGCTGCTTTGCGTCTACAGCAGCGCACGGCATGCAGCTGGTTCTTTGTGTGTGTCTGCTGAACAGATCCTTGGTCGTTCCCTGGTCCTTAGGCTCCTGTGATGTGACTGCATTCCCGTTCCTAAGCTTCCAGCTTCCCACGTTGCTCCTCACTCATCTGTACCTGGCCAGCCCACTGAGCCTCGCTGGTGATCTGGCTTCGATATCAGCACCCGTCCCTTCCTCGCCATCTGTCCACCTCCCTGCTGCTCTGCCTGGGCTGTGAGCACCTTCGGGGAAGGTACCGAGCCCTTGGTCAATGTGTCCTGGGTACAGGCACAGACTTCAGGGTTAGAGTAAGAGGAGGGGCTTTGTTCCTTAGCACTGGGGAGGAAGTTCCCGTCTACAAAATCAAGTCACCGAGTTCCTTCCCGCAGCCACATTCAGGGACTTGTGGTTTATGTGGGGATCCTGTCTGCATTCTGTAACTAACACCTCTCAGTGAGGGATGGTTGCTACTTAGGAAGCACATTCGGTCTACACAGGCAGCAAGTGTGGGAGGCTCGGGAAGGTCAAGATGAGCAGATCTGAGGAAAGAACATGAGCCGAACTAGTGGCTCTGCCCCCATTGCCCTGTGCAGTGATGGAAACTGTCCCTTCAAACACAGCCTCCCATCTCATGTTCAGAAAGCAAGGAATCAAAAACAGCACAC